TCCGAAAGCAGCCAGTTCTCCGCTCTCGGTCGGGAACAAGGCTGTGCGTTTGGTTTGATAAAAGCACGCCCTCTGTAGGTGCACACGTAGTTACCGGCACAGGTACCGTATTCTGTCGGATTTCTTTGTCCCCGTGGGCTCAAACCTAGGGAACCCGTGCCGGAGGCAAAAAACAAAAAAAAAAACACAAAACAAAACAACAAGAGCTACCGACTAAACAGAGTCTTCATCTAAAAACCCTGTAAAATGTCCCACCTCCTGTTTTTCCGAGCGGCCGCAACTCCCAGAGGCTCACTGCTAACGGATCAGGCAAGGCTGCAGCCCCACCTGCTGGCCACGCCGTGCGGGCTCTCCCCAGGCAGCGGCCTCTCCACCCTGCGGGAACAGAGAGGCTCCCACCTGCCGCCACCGGCCACGGCATGGCCGAAGGAGCAGAGGGGGGCCTCGGCCCGTGGGCACGGCGCACAAGCCCCCGGCCAGCCCGTGCCAGTGCCCCAAGGCCTCTGAAAAGGTAAAACGTGCCCTTCTCTGACACCACTGGAAATCAGTGCCAAAGGGAGAACGGTCTTATTTTGGTACCTTGCACATCAACAAACATGCTGGTTCATCCTAACTTGGTTGAGAAAATGCACATGGTCTAAGGGCGGTGCTTGTCCACTTATTCCATTTTCACTCACAAGTCCATGTGTCCTCACTACATACAGAAAATGAAAGCATCAACTTCTGTCTTGGGGCATCCAGATGCAAGAGGCCTCAGGGACAGACAGGGCTCCATGCCTGCTCTACGCCACTACTGATCCCGTGAGAAAAACAAACCAAAGAAACCTTGTCACAGGTCCACGCTAGAAATAAGAATCCCTGGGACACCTGGGTGGCTCAGTCGATTGGGCGTCCGACTTCAGCTCAGGTCAGGATCTCGCGGTTCGTGGGTTCGAGCCCCGCATCGGGCTCTGTGCTGACAGCTTAGAGCCTGGAACCTGCTTCGGATTCTGTGTCTCCCTCTCTCTCTGTCCCTCCCCCACTCATGCTCTGTCTCTCTCTCAAACATAATAAAAACATTAAAAAAAGAAAAGAAAGAAAGCCAACATTTAGGGGAATAAAAGGGGCAGCAGGTGGCTCAATCAGTTAAGCATCCAACTTCGGCTCAGGCCATGATCTCAGTTTGTGGTTCAAGTCCTGCATGGGGCTCTGGGCTGACAGCACAGAGCCTGGAGCCTGTTTTGGATTCTGTGCCTCCCTCTCTCTTTGCCCCTCTCCCACTCGCACTCTGTGTCTATCCCAAAAATAAACATTAAAAAAAAACCTTATAAAAGAAACAGTAAGAACCCCTTCGTAACCAATCATGTTCCTCATAGTGTATCTCTCCAGAAACGACCGTTATTTCACACATCCACCAGGTACAAAAATACACCCCAAATCATAGAGACATGTGAACCATGACCCCAGCATTTCCTACGCTGCACAGTCAGAGGGTGGCAGACAAGACAGACCTACTACTCAAAAAGTCTTAACACGGGGCACCGGGGTGGCTCAGTCGGTTAAGCGTCCGACTTCAGCTCAGGTCACGATCTCGCGGTCCGTGGGTTCGAGCCCCGCGTCGAGCTCTGGGCTGATGGCTCAGAGCCTGGAGCCTGCTTCCGATTCTGTGTCTACCTCTCTCTCTGCCCTTCCCACACTCATGCTCTGTCTCTCCCTGTCTCAAAAATAAATAAAAAACGTTAAAAAAAAATTAAAAAAAAAAAAACAAATAGTCTTAACGCTAAACACACGCTTCCAACAACACCCAATAACACAAATAAATTCTTGGCTCTTTTTGCAGAAAATAAAAATAAAATCTTTCAGACAATCAAAAAAAGCAATTGAAAACAGAATGTGACCAAAGATACTTTAAATAACACCCAGAAAAATGACTCTGGAATCACACTTAAGAGTCGGGCCCCACAAGAACCCCCCCACCAAGCTCCCTGTGCCTTGGTTGGCCTCCACACATCTGGAGGAGGGCTCCAGACCCCCTGTAAGGACCGCATGTGTGCTGTGCCCAGCGTGCAAGGCCTCCCGTGTCCCAGGAGGGAGGCTCCCATCGGTGCCACAGAGGGCTGTTCACATAAGGTTCACACTGCCCTTTTCAGCCCAGCCCCCAAGGCTCAGGCCAGATGCCACTCATCCAGTGTGGGATGGGGAAAGTGCAGCGAGTCCGGGACAGACTCCTGCGCCAGACGTCATGAGTGCTCAGGACAGAAGGGGCACGTCTAAGAAGCCCCAGCAGCCGAGTCTGGAACAACTGAAACAACAATAATTACAAAACAAAGACCTACAACCATCAAAGTGTAATAATCCTTGAGCCTACAGCAGCCTCAACTACACTAACGAACAAAGCGCCAACTGATGAGTGTGGAAAGAAGGCCAAAATCAGCAAGGTCACCACTTCTACACACTCGAGGTGATAAGAGACCCAGGAGAGGATCACTGAGGACGTCAGACCCAGTGGATGAAAGGTCACTAGGGAAGAAGACTGCTCACGTCTCCCCGCCACTTCACACATTTCAACGTGGAAAACACATCTTGCGGTAGGGACACCTGGAGACGCCCCCGCGCTCCAGGCCCGCATCCCCGATAGCAGGACGCTCTGCTGGGGACACAAAGCACACAATGGTGGCTGTGAAGACTTCTGGCAAAAAGGCAACCAGAGAGAAGCAGAGTGTGGGACATTCTAGCTGAGGATGGCTTAGATTCTTCACAAAAACAATCCACGCCATAAAAATAACAGCAGGGGCGCCTGGGGGGCTCAGTTGTTTGAGCATCTAACTCTTGACTTTGGCTCAGGATCCCAGGATCGTGGGCTCAAGCCCCGAGTCAGGCTCTGTGCTGACAGCGCAAAGCTGGCCTAGGAGTCTACCTCTCTGCACCAACCCCACTCTTGCCCTCGCCCTCTCCCTCTCTCTAAATACATAAACTTAAAATAAAAACAGTAACAACAAATGGTCAGAAGACTAACCTAGATTAAAGGACCACAGAACAAAATGAGTGCATGTAATGAATGAAGCCTGACTGAATTCTAAAACAATGTTATCAGAGACATTTTAGGGACAACAGGGATAGAGCTGAACGTGGGCCGGGTATCAGATGCCATCCCAGAACTCTGTTTCCACCCTCTCCGGGGGAACGCCCAACAACTCTCCAAAGACGCGCTCGGAGTACAAGGGAGAAGCGGCAGGCCAAGGGCGGCTCCTGGCACAGGGCCCCGGCAGACAGCACTCATGGGCGCTGTGTGTCCAGACGCTGCACACGTCCACGTGCACACACAGAAACACGACCGATGTGGTGAAAACAACACCACCGGTGAGGCCAGGAGCAGAGTACGTGGGGTGCCGCCACACGATCCCCTCCAAATTCACGTGCGCCTGAGCCTCCTCAACATAAAGCACCCGAGAGAAGAGACGAGCAGGCTCTGGGCAGGGCTGTGCGCACGGGGCCCTGGCTCATCCTAAGCCCCCATTACCGCACACGGCTCCCCCGTCCTCGGGGCCCAGAGCGAGCCCACCCTCAGAGCAGATGGAGGACAGCCGCCCCCCTGCATGGTCCAGGCTGGCCTGACCGGAAGCCGTCCCCTGGACGGGACCGAGACCTGTGAAAGCAGGGACGCGGCGAGAAGTGCCCTGCACGCAGGCACCAACGCCGCCAGATAAGCCGCTGCGAATGGAGACCTTCGGTCCCCGTGCCGCGGCCCCTCCAGCTGCCAGCAGCAAGTCTGTCACAGTCTCTCAGGACACACGGGAGGGGGGGACCTAGCACACAGAGGCCATGCTCGCACCGCTGTCCCAGAGCACACCACCTCCCTTCTGGCCCCAAGCTTCTTGAAGACCTCTGTCTGTCCGGTTTCCGTGTGAACACGGCACGAATTCTCAACACTGAATCTCTAATTTCGTATCTGACGTTAGACACATAAAACGGGCTTGTTTAGGGAGTGCGTCCAAAGAAGGAATGAAGAAAATCCGTTATTTTCAAGCAACCAAACGAGCAAGCATGCGTTCAATAACAAGTGTTTAGTGAGCACACAGGACCTTTCTGGACACGCTGAAGCTCAGGACACACACTGCCAGAGAGACAGACACAGAGATGGTCCGGTCCAGAGAGGCACGTGCAGGGGCTGCGGTGGCATGGGGAGCAGATGACAGGATACAGTCAGGAGGTGTGACAGGAAGGGCGTCCTGCTCACGGAGGGGATGGGGCACGGCAGGGGAGCGGGGATGTCTCTGGAAAGATGGTCATGTGATTTATCGGGAACGGTCTGACTGGAGAAAAGTTTTTGGAAAGAAGTAAGAGTTCTGGGGGCGCCTGGTGGCTCAGTCAGTTAAGCGTCCGACTTCGGCTCAGGTCATGATCTTGCGGTTCATGAGTTCAAGCCCGTGTCGGGCTCTTTGCTGACAGCTCAGAGCCTGGAGCCTGTTTCAGATTCTGTATCTCCCTCTCTCTCTCTCTCTCTGACCCTCCCCCGTTCATGTTCTGTCTCTGTCTCAAAAATAAATAAACGTTAAAAAAAAAAAAAGAAGAATTCTGTCAAGACACAGCTATGCCTGAGCTGCCCAATAGATGGCCAGGCCGGGGGGGGGAGGGAAAAAAAAAAAAAAAAAAAAAAAAAAAAAATTCCCTGTAAGGGGGAAGAGGGGAGGGGGGCAGGGGGAGGGGGGGTGTCCTCCCCAGCTCTGGCCAGGTGCTCAGCAGAGGCTGTGCGGGCCACCAACTCTAGTGTTTCCTGACTTCCCCACTGCCCCATCCTACCACCATCCAATTCCCTGTGAGAACTTCAGTGACTGAATCTTTTAAAGTCTTACAAATACCCAAATGGAGCTAAACGTTTAGGGAAAGAGCAGCCAGTTTGGAAGACGTGGAGCTGGAAGTTAATACTGGAAATGAAGATACGAATTAAGTTTTAATATCCACCTGCAAAACTTTTTTCACGAACAGTTAAAGAGAGAGATCTCTAAATGACTGTGACTCACTCCGTATGGCCCTGGAAGACATTCACGGAGTGGATGGAAGGGTCCCTGAAATCCCAAAGACGGAAAGTCGTGTCCCGGGAGGAGGTCACCACAAGCCGCTGGGTGGGGTGTGTGCAACAGTGCGTTAGCTCCTGGTCATGCCCTACAACCAAAGATGACAAAAATGCAAGATCATCCACCTGTAGGCACAGTTACAGCGATGCTTTCTTAAGAACACAAGAATCAAAACCTCTTTATGGTCTCTACTGCTCACGGTCACCGTACAAGGGAATGCAAGTAGGGAAAGATAAGAAGTCACTTAAAACTAGCGTGTGGGGTCGCAGTGGAACTGGTTTTCCCTCGGGAACTGGAGTCCTTTCATCCACACATTTAGAGGGATCAGCAAAACGAGTGCGAGCGTGACCCACCTCTTGATGCTGACGGTCAGAAGGTCTGGCAAATCTCTTTAATAGGCTAAATATGTGAACAAACTAATTCTTCATCTTTAATTCCAGAGTAACTTCTAATACTACAATATGTGGAACCCTTAGTAAAACATAATCCTTAACACTCAATGAGGAAATTCACTTACTGACAAATTTGCAAAAACGTCTGTAGTGGGCATAACTCTAAGATGTCCCGGTGACCCCCTTCCCTGGCATACACACCCTGGAGGATACCTTCCCTTGAGTTGGGGCAGAACCTGTAAATGCGACGAGATATCACTCTGGTAAGCTCGGTACATTAAAAGGGAAAACAGATTTTGCAGATGTAACTAAGACCTCCAAATGAGTGCCTTCAAGTTAATCAAAAGAAACTCTGTCCTAGGTGGGCGCGCCCTAATCAGGCAGGCCCTTGAAAAGAGATGTTCTCCTGGAAGCGGAAAACACAGCAAACAGCTGTGTGGGGAAACATCTCTGAAGGGGCCACGAGGGATTATGGGGGCACGCTCTGGATGCGGAGAGTGGTGGGTCCCCAGCTGACAGGTCGCCAGAAAACAAGGACCTCAGTCGTATGGGGACCTCGGCCATATGCCACAACAAAACGAGTCCTTCCACCGGCGGTAAGTAAGAGGACAGAACCTAACCCTCAGATGAGATCACAGCCTCAGACCGCACCTTCGTTTCACCCATAAGACCCTGAGCACAGGACCAGCGAGCATGTGCCCAGAACTCCAGACCCAGGGAAACCATGGGCTTATAAATCCATGTTATTTTAAGACACTAAGTTTCTGGAAATTTGCTACAAAGCAATAGGAAGCTGACAGGACAGCCATTTTTCAAATATCTAGGTATTACGTGCTACAGTTAAATCCCTTAAAGATCAAATAGGTTTAGCTAACAAACAGTTCTGTAATTTAGAAAGGGTCCCTGAAAAATCACAATCTGGGGACCACAAGAAGTAAAAATAATCCTGGACAAGAAGTAATTTGCAAGGTAAGATATAAACACGTGCACGCAAATCAAAAGCACGCCAACTGGAAATCACCGACACTTGAAGTACCTGTCAGAGAGTGAACGAGTTCCGCCGTCTCCACGTCAAACAGATTCGCTGTTCTGTCCCAGGAGGCCGTCACTGCCTGCTTCCCCCCAACCAGCCAGTCAGCGGCTATGACCACTCCCTGGTGGCTCTTAAGAGACGTCAGCGGCACCCGGATGGTAGGACAGTCACTGGACACATCCGCGTCAACATCAGGCTCGTCTTTATCGGAGCACTCCACTTCATCTTCGCCACACATCTGCTGCTGATTGTGAGAGCAGAGAAGAAATTCCCTGGGAATCTTGAGTCTTTTCTGACACAGCTACACAATCAGACTGTTGTCATTTGTCTTTCTAGGACTTGATCATCGTTATGACCAACAACAGCACGGTATCTGGCAAGTATCTGGAGCTTGATGACCGTTTATCAACTTCATGATTATCTACTTGGTTAAAACCCACGACCACGTATAAGAAGAGAACAAAATTAAGGCCACTATGACATCAATAAGCTACAGTCCATTTCCAGTCAGCAATAAAATGGCAAATAAAATGACTTTATTTTAAATTTTTACCACATATTAGGAGCAATGTACTAAAATATAAAATACATTTGAAAGTCAGTAATTTATCACAATAAAAAAAGAAACATTTCAATTCTCAGAAGGCTACTTAGAATTCGATTGCTATAGAAACAGATACGAGTTCATTTTATTTTCCTGTAAGGTCTTTTGTCAAAAACTAAAATGAAAACACAAAAGGCTTCAGCTCTCTAAGAAAACATATCGATCTTTCATTCAACAAATATCAGGTGCTTACACACCGCCAGACCACATGCCAGTCCCACAGCAGAGAAAGATGACCTCTGTCTCACATGGACATGTGGAACAATGGAACTAGAGCCCCAGAGACTGGAAACGTCCTCATTTCATGGAGTTTACATGCTAGCGAGGAAGACAGACCACACACAGGGGCATATGTATGCGCGCGTGCACACACATACACACATCCATACTCGTATGGCAATGTATGGCATACGTATACACACGCTAGTATGGAAATACGTGCCATGTAAACACACGTGCTAGAGTGGTAATGTCACAGATAGTACAGGGAAATGTGTCACATGTACACGCACATGGTACAGAAATATAGATCACACATACACAGTGTAGAGATATGTGTCACACGTACACACAGTATGGAGATATAGGTCACACATACACACGGTGTAAGGATACACGTCACACGTACACACACAGTAGAGATATGGGTCACACGTACACACAGTGTAGGGATGCAGGTCACAGGCACATGCACAAAGCGTAAGGATGTATCACACACACACACAGATTCAGGCAGTAATAAGCACTAAGAAACGGAGCAGATGGAGGGATGGGCAGTCGCGAGGGCTATTTTATACAGAATTATCAGGGAAAGACCCGCTGCTAAAGTGACATTTGAGTTGGAGCATGAAGAAAACAAGGGATCCAGGCACAAACACTTAGGGGAACAGCATTCCCAACCGAAGAGCAGGTGCCAAAGCCCCAAGAAGCTACACAAACAGCAAAGTCACGGGCGTGGAGGTGGGAAAGGTGGCTTCAGAGGAGGAGGCGGGAGAGACACAGATCACATCCCATACGGAGCTGCCCAAGGACTGACAGCCGGGAGCCAGGCCGCATGGAAGGGATGCCAATGAGCGAGGCCCCACAGCAGGAGGAACACACAGAGAAGCAGAGGAGGGTGCGGACGGCGTGAGGGTCTGAGGTCTGTGTAGGAAACCCGAGGGGGTAAGGACAGTGGAAAGTCACGGGGGGGGGGGGGGGCAGCGGCCACTGGAGGCAGCATGCCAGGAGTGCATGCTCAGGGCACTCCCAGGTCAAATGCAGGAAGCACAGGGACTCTCCATCCAGCAGGAAAGTTAAACACACGTTATGCAGAGTTACCGATCTCAAAGCACACTAAAGACTACGAAGCAAAGTCAGGGAGGTCTGCAGGGTGGAGAGCATAAGAGGGATGAGGGGAGAACACCCAGGAAGAGGGCCAAGCGGGCCGGCAGGGAGGGAGGTACACCGAATGCGTCCGGTCTGGGCTGGCACCAGGGACTGGCAAAGGGCTTGGCAAGGTGGCAAGTACAAGTCCAGAAAGACCACTCCTGACCTCGTGCGTGCAGAGAGGATACAACATGAGTGGCCAGGCCGGAACGGGGAGCCTCGGCAGGGACTAGAGGTGACGGCCCCTGCGGGCTAACCGCATGAGGACACACCCCAGGAGCATAACCTGCTCCAGGAGAAAGGACCCTGACCGGTAACCGCACCCCAACAGGAAGAGCAATGTGGTCCCTGGAGATGCCGCATGGGGATGCTGTGATTCGGGGCTCTCCCCCAGCCAACAATGGCCCCTTGGCCACGAGGTTCCTCAGCTCCCACAGCCACTCGTGAGGAGCCCCCGGGCCCTCTCTGGCCCTGACGGGCAGGGCCGGCCTGCACGGTGCCTCAGGCAGGCACAGAAGAGGGGTGCCGGGTGGAGCCGCGGCTCAGCAGAGATCTCTGGGTAAGTGTTACATAAAGGGTAGACGGGGAGACAGGACAGAGAAGTGCATTCAGAATTACAGAAGAACCAGAAGCAGTGAGATGTCACAGACAGATGGAAACGGAAGATGGAAAACAGGTGAGGAAGAAGAGACGCATCAAAGATAATCCCAAAATTCCTGAGAGTTTTGCTCACTGCTGGCACACAGAACTGGTGCGCCTGCTGTGCTTTTCCCTGAGAACCGTGAAGGAAAAAGTGACAAGTAAGCGTGAACGCAGGGATTTCCTCAGAGTGGGTCCAGGGGACCCCCATTTCAGAGAGCTCTAGCTCTCGGGACGCACGATGGAAAGGTCAATAGGAACCTTCACAGAAATCATTTGTCCAAACTAGACAAGAATTGAAAGTATTTTAAAATGCAAAGATAGTAAGTCGCATTCACGAATAATTATAAGTTTTTCAACTTTTTTTTCATGTTTATTTTTATTTTTGACAGAGAGAGACAGAGCATGAGCGGGGGAAGGGAGAGAGAGAAGGAGACACAGAATCGAAAGCAGGTTCCAGGCTCCGAACTGTCAGCACAGAGCCCAATGCAGGACTCGAACCTACAGACTGCAAGATCATGACCCGAGCCTAAGTCGGACACTCAACCGACTGACCACTCAGGCACCCCTATAAGCTCTTTTAACACTTGACGTGAAGAGCAGGGGAAGGAGTGAGAATGGTCTGTGTGCTTTTTGCCCACATCTTGGGGATAATCCATTTCGGTTGAACCATTTTGACCGCCAGCAACAGCGGAGGAGAATGTCCAACATTGCTGACTTAATGCTAAGTGGATCTCCCGAACACGAGTGGCCACAGGACCAAGGAGCCACTGAATCACGGTTCTCGTGAAGGAAGGGTCCCTGGAAGCCACGTGGGTAACCTGATTCGATCTTCCTGTTTCAACAGGGAAAGTGAAGCCACCCGGTGAATTAAAGCAGTTGCTCGACATCACACAGCTGGGGTCCCACAGTGACTTGACAGGCCATCTGAAAGTGTCTCCACTCACCACCCAAACACTTCTTCATCAAGTATTTCTTGGTAGATGCCAACTAAAACTCTCTGGTCCAAGCTAAATTTTAAAAAGCTGTACTGGTGAAAACGAACAAGATCTTTTTTTTAAATTTTTTTGTAAATGTTTACTATTGAGAGACAGAGACAAAGCGTGAGCAGGGGAGTCACAGAGAAAGGGGAAGACACAGAATCCGAAGCAGGCTCCAGGCTCTGAGCTGTCAGCACAGAGCCCAACGCGGGGCTTGTACTCACAAACCGCAAGATTATGACCTGAGCCGAAGTCAGACGCTCAACCAACTGAGCCACACAGGCGCCCCACCATCTTTTTTTTTTTTTTAATGTGTTAATTATTTTAGAGAGACAGAGAGACAGAACATAAAAGGGGGAGGTGCAGACGGAAAGGGAGACACAGAATCCGAAGCAGGCTCCACGCTCCGAGCTGTCAGCAGAGAGCCCGATGCGGGGCTTGTACTCACAAACCGCAAGATCATAACCTGAGCCCAAGTCGGACGCTCAACTGACTGAGCCACCCGGGCGCCCCAAAAATGAACAAGGATCTTAACAGACTAAAGTTTCTTCTAAAATGCAGGCGAGCCGTTAAGTCAACCCGAGGCAAGCCCAGGCGGCGAGAGCTTATGACAAGTGCCATCTCCAGGGCAGGCCGCGCGGGACCCTCCGAGGCTCCGTCACTGACTGACACGGGCTGCCCCAAGTCACCCCAAAAGCCTGAGGTGGCAACTATCAATCACAGACAGTCCCTGCACCCAACGCAAACAAAATCACAAAGAAGAAAACAGGGTCAATTTAACGTCGTAAATAATATATTACGATTTTATAATGTAAGTACTATATGTGATTTTTTCCCTCTGCCAAAACTAGAATTTTTCTTATTTCCTTTGAAAACAAATCCATACAACGTTAACACATTTGCTGAACCCTCTCCCTGGCCCCTCTGCCTTATCATCTGTCAGCACTATTTCTTAAGCCAATGGCCATGTTAAATAATAGTCTGGTTATTCCACGAGGGAAAAAAAACATGTTAAAATAAAAGACAAAACACTCCATTAAAAATAAACTGTTCAGGGGGCGCCTGGGTGGCTCAGGTGGTTAAACGCCTAACTGACGTCAGCTCAGGTCGTGATCCCAGGGTTGTGGAATTGAGCCCCATGTCGAGTTCCTCACTGACTGTGCAGCCTGCCTGAGATTTCTCTCCCTCTCTCTGCCCCTACCCTGCTTGCACTCTCACACTCTAAAATTTAAAACAAACATTTTAATTAAAAATAAAAACGTACGACAGAGTGGCCAATGGTCTGCAGAGCAACATGCCTAAGTTTTATTGTGACTCCTGCGACACATACCTCACCCATGACTCTCCGTCTGCGAGAAAGACACACTGCAGTAGTAGGAAACACAAAGAGAATGTGAAAGATCCGCTATCAGAAATGGATGCCAAGAGCGAGCCCAGAGCCTGATGGACAGAGCAACTGCTGCACTTCTGCAAGGAAAGGTTCCTCCTGCTCCACTCTGTCCTCCATCTGCAGGAGCAATGATCCCACCTCCCCCTCGTCTCCCGGGTCCTCTTTGCTCTGGTATGACGCCAGCACCCCATATGGGAGGCCCTCCTCCTCCTGGGATGATGCCAGTTGGACCCTCTCCTGGAATGAGGCCGCCTATGGGAGGCTACACGCCAATGACGCCTGCGGCCCCCAATGATGAGACCTCCCCCGCCCATCCCACGATGGTGCCCACTTGGCCAGGAATGACCTGACCAGACAGGTAAGGAGAGACAGAAACCTCCTTATATCCATTTTATATTACTTGTTCTACTTCACTAGGAGATCATGGTGCTGTGACTCTGGGTGTTTTCTAACAGCATGACAAGGAAGACTTGCTCCCCCTTCCTATCAAACAGAGAATAGTTTTTCCAAGGGAGTAGCGGGACAAAAAAAAAAAAAAAGCAATTTTCATTTGTATTGTGAGATGTGAAAATAAAATTGTCAACTGTTTTAAATAATAAATAAACAGATAGATAGATAGATAGATAAATATAAAAATGTGCTAGGAATTTACCCAAGGGATACAGGAGTGCTGATGCACAGGGGCACTTGCACTCCAATGTTTACGGCAGCACTTTCAACAATAGCCAAATTATGGAAAGAGCCTAAATGTCCATCAACTGATGAATGGATAAAGAAGATGTGGCTTATATATACAATGGAATACTACTTGGCAATGAGAAAGAATGAAATCTGGCCATCTGTAGCAACGTGGATGGAACTGGAGAGTGTGATGCTAAGTGAAATAAGTCATACAGAGAAAGACAGATACCGTATGTTTTCACTCTTAGGTGGATCCTGAGAAACTTAATAGAAGACCACGGGGGAGGGGGAGGGGGGAAAAAGTTACAGAGAGGGAAGGAGGCAAACCATAAGAGACTCTTAAAAACATCTGAGAATAAACTGAGGGTCGATGGGGGGTGAGAGAGAGGGGAAAGTGGGTGATGGGCAGCGATGAGGACACCTGTTGGGATGAGCACTGAGTGTTGTATGGAAACCAATTTGACAATAAATTTCATATTAAAAAATAAAAATAATCATTCAAAAAATAAATAAAAAATAAAAATAAAAACAAACTGTTTAGATCTCCTCACTGAAGACAATTCCTACTCATCACTGTAATTACTTCACCCATCTCCAAAGAGAACAATGTTTACAACATTTCAAAGAAAGAAACAAGTAACACAACACTCCAAGGCGGAAACAGCACGGTCAGAGGGCGAGTGCCATCCTCCTGGCGACTCCGGCCACAGTGCGTCCCCAGCTCCGCGCTGCCCGGCGCCGTGTCCGCCCACGTGAGAGCACAGGGCCAGGCTGAGTGACCCCTCGGCTCTCCTGCGACAGAAGCAAGGAGAAGGCTACCCGAGGCCTCTGTGTGACCAGAAACGGTGCTGGGCTGAAGGGAACAACTACATCCGAGCAGAAAAAAGCTAACTGAAGGCTTCATGGTCTAAATCCACCCATCCTTCTTCTCAATATGCAACCCATTGTCAACCACCTACCTTTACCTCCTTGAAGATGACGTCACACACACTGACTTACACAGTTTACCTTACGTTTGTTTATTTAATTCATTTAGTTTTGAGAGAGAGAGACAGAGCAGGGGAGGGGCAGAGAGGGAGGGGAAGAGAGAGACTCCCAAGCAGGCTCCGCACTGCCAGCACAGAGCCTGACGTGGGGCTTCAATTCACCACCTGTGAGATCATGACCTGAGCCGAAACCAAGATCCTGACACTCAACCGACTGAGCCACCAAGGCGCCCCCAGTTCACCTTACGTGAAAGACAGACTCGTGGTCTAAAACATATAAAACGTTAAGAAACGTGACCTAATTGTATAGTTTTTAAATATTAATGGCCAACGTTTACTAGCTGTGGAAAGGGGGGCGAGAACATACATGCACACATATATAAACAAGGAACTTCACTTTCAACACTGTCCTCTGTTCAGGCTTCCAGAACAAAACACCAAGACCGGGCAGCCAGGATCAAGGTGCGGCCTATTCGGTTTCTGGTGCAAGCCTTCCCAGCTTGTCATTACAGCCTCACATGGCAGCTCCCAGGTACAGCAGGGAAGGGAAACACATGCAAGCTCACTGGTGTCTGAGGAAGGACGCTAATGCTATGCCAACAGGACCCCAGCGTCAGTACCTCACTTCCAAATACAGACACACTGGGGGGCAGTTAGGGCTTCAAACTCTAAAGGGGGGTCACAAACATCCAGTCTGTAAGACCATATAAATTTGGGGGCGCCTGGGTAGCTCAGTCGGTTGAGCATCTAACTTCGGCTCAGGTCATGATTTCGCAGTTTATGGGTTCCAGCCCCACATCAGGCTCTGTGCTGACAGCTCAGAGCCTGGAGCCTGCTTCAGATTCTGTGTCTCCCTCTCTCTCTGCCCTCCCCACCTCGCACTCTCCCTCTATCAAAAATAAATAAACATTAAAAAAAAAAATTTTTTTTTAAGAGACCATATAAATTTGTCCTAAACTTTGCAAGTGTCAAGAACCCTACAACATACCCCAAGTGGCGCTTTCATGGTAAGTAAAGGTGCTGCTTACAGTGGTGTCAGCAACAGGCTGGGGCGTTGGCAGCTGGACGGCGTATCTCCAAATGTGGGCGGTCTGATCTCCAGAAGCTGAGGACAGAAATCAGGGCACAATTACCCACAGTGCACATCAGGTATAAGATGCTTTCTGCTAGGTTCTGGCCAAGCGTCATCAGACTTCTGTAACTCAATGATCGAGAGCTGCTTCTGAGACTGCATGATGCTGCTGACAACAGGCTAAATGCACACAATTAAGATGGTGGTTAAAAATACCCCCTCCTTTCATTTTACGGTGAAAAGCTGTGAAGTTTCAGGCAACACTTACAAGTACAGGTTATCCTGTCCATCTATCGAAGCTAAGTAAACCGAACAGTACTTCAGAAAAGTGAGCCCCACACAAATACCTTCTCCCCTGCGCCCAACATCAGTGGGCTCACAGCCTGCTGGGCCCCGCGGGTCTGGGGCCTTACTGCCACCGGCCAGGTGTGCCAGGTGCTGTGCACATGGGACAGAGGGAAGGGCCGGGGAAGGGCACACAGACGTGCAGGGCGGGCATCTCCAGCTGCCCTCACAAGGTACCGTCTGAACCTCACTTCCCTCTGTGGCTAAGAGGTTCCCCAAAGCGGCCACGTGTGGACAGTGGCACATTTCTCAAGTTGTCAGACGAGCTCACTGCCTGCCCTGCTAGCTCTCCTGCCCCGCGTGCAAACCTCCATTGAGCATGCCTCTCCCCTGCCTCCTCACCCCAACTCTGGCCATCACCGGTCTCCCCCACCCTCCCTTCTCGCCCCAACTCTGGCCATCACTGTTCCCCCCCACCCTCCCTCCTCACAATCACTCACCGATTACATAAAGTGGAAAATTCTCACCTACTTTATTCCCCACGTGTTTACTTGGGCATCAACTAGCTGTGGTCAAGGCCTGTTCAGACCCACCATATTCTGCTCAAATGGAAAAGCACCCGATTGGCCCCACTCTCACCCTCTACCCCAGGGTCAGCAGAATCTGGCCCACGGGCCACAGCCACAGCCACTCACCCGTGCACTACCTCTCCTGCTTTCACACTAACACAGCTGAGTGGTTGTGACATGGACCATGTGGCTGTCAAAGATGAGAACATTTAGTTACGATAATTTACAAAAAAAGCTTGCTGACCTCCACTCTCTAAACATTTACCCCTCGAGATTACTGTCAGTGTCCCCCAAAGTCACAGGAGTCTACAGTCAGACAATTTTACTGGAAGACTCCTCAGTTCAACAATGAAGCTGTTGTACAAACTACTACATAAAATCACGGCAAAACCACGCGGCCACCACTGAGGAGCGCCCAGAAAGGAGGAAAAACGTTGGCCCCGCAGACTGCCGTGACCTGGGCTACTGTTTCTGCCCTCCTGTTTCAGATGCACGCAGGATTAGGAACTCGCAGTAATGACAGGTGTTCAGAAAACCAAGTTCCCTCTGTGGTGTGAGCAGAAAGTGGGCAACCACTAAGGGCTTCGCAAAAACCAGCTCAGGGTGGGTCACGTGCAGTCTCCCGGGAGAGCCAAGCTCACCTGACAATACACTACAGGTGAAACAAGTGCCACTTGATGTGTCCTCCTTCCTCCATCCCTCAAGTATTTCACAAAATGATGATCTGACTTTTACGGAAGGGACCAACGAGAAAGGAACGACTATGGCTATTTTTAAATTATCTATAACTTTCTTCAATAAAGAAGAAAAAGATCAACATACCAGTAAGAGCCAACTGCTCTGATGGATGAAACTTGATAGAATTCACTGCAAAACAAAAACATTACAAAACAGGTATAAAATAACGACATATCATCGTTTCTCATAACAACGTGCATTACAAGGTAACTTTAAGAATTAAAAAAACTTAATGTTCAATATTAGATCCTCCCACCCAGTTAACCTAAGAATAAATGCAGAGATACATGAAAAACTCACTGAACATGAGTGATCAAATTACTGACACATAAGACATACAGAAAAACAACACTAATAATCTACTTCTTTCTGTAGACAAGGAAGTCCTCCCGAGTGAAAAATGAATCAGGATGAAAGAGAAACCATACTTATGACAACTGATGGGGACAGACCACAGCAGGGACACTGTTTACTGCCCACCCTCCCTCCCGTCCCGTTCCAGGAGACCCCGGGAGCAGAGGCGGCAGGCCTCGCCAGCTCGGAGAGAGAGTCAGGATCCACACGGACGGTCCCCTCCTCCAGCTGGGGGAGGACCAAGGTGCTTCGCAGGAAAAAAGAGCAGGAGTGGGGTGCACAGAAGAAGGAGCCAGAGTGTGCAGAGGCCGGAGCCTGGCTGCTGGGACCACCCTGCGAGGGAGCCAGCACTCACGCCCACATAGCGAACACACGACAGGACAGAGTGCACAGAAAGTTCCAGAAAATGAAGCAAGTTCTTTCAGAAAGATTCCGCCAGCTACACCACTGGGAATTCTCTTTTCCTGAGGAAATGAAAAGTCCAGCGAGTGTAGACTGCGGGTAAGTGTGGGAGGAGCAGGTGGACACCACAGCCTCCTCAGGACCGGCAATAAGCTGTCATGACCCTGTGCGCACACACGCACACACACACACACACGCACACACGGCAGGATGCCCCTAGGGCCAGGAGCAAGTGGCAAGCTCCATGGCCACCTCTCACCTCGACGTCCGTGCAAACCTGAACGCGCCACCAGTGCCACAGGTGGCCCTCACAGCCGTGACACATGCTTCGTGAAAGAGCACGTGCGGAGCACTCGGCCGGGAACCCAGCACACAGCGGGTGCTTCACGACTGTCACAGCTGCAACATGCACACTGTGCACCAGCTCACCGAAGGGACGGCGCCACTGAACGGGGACGGGCCTGCACGTGCGCACAGGTGCCACCAGGCAGGGGGCGGGCTGCAGCCAAACTGCGCCCCGTCCCCCGGCAGAGGGTCTGCTGGCCGTGGCTGAGGCAGAACAGGAAGGTGAGCCCCGCCAGCACCTTCTCCAAAGATGCGCAGCACCCCCAACACGCGGCTAACTCAATTCCCAGAGGCCACACCAGGAGCAGAAAGGGAGAGGCCACCAGAGACCAATGTTCTCCACAGCAAGCTTCAGAGGCACCCGATCTTTAAATGGTTTGTGTGCCTAACTTTACCACAAACATAAAAGAACAACAAACAGGAAGAAGCACCATCCCCCGCACAAGAGGGCTCTACTTGGGGGTCGGGCAGGGGCAGCCACGAAGCCCAGCACGTGACTCTTGAGGCAGAGGGGACGAGGCACAGGAGGGTCCTCCGTTCAGGTGATGCCGGAACAAGGCAGGACAGACACGGCAAACCACCTGCAGTGAGCTATGCTCATAGAAATCCCAGGTGGGGAGAACCACTCCCTTCAGGCTAAAGGGACCTTGGCCACGTCATCGCAACACCACCTAGTGGAAAGACCAAAGCCAGGACACGAGCAATGCAGACACGGTGTCTGTGAGGACAGCACCCCAGAAGGGAAGGCCAGACATCAGCGCTCCACCTCCCATCACCCGGCCTCCTGACGCCCAGGGCGGTGTGCACCCCACGTGCTGGGGCAAGAGGACACGGGAGAGAGGTGCACAGGGTGGCCGGTGAAGAGCTGGGCGTCCAGGCCATCCAGCGAGAGGGGAAGCTCCAGGGAAGGGACAACAAAGGAACAGAGATGCCGCACCGAGTATGGCCACCGGAAAGGCACGTCACACAGGAGCACAGGGATGAGTCAGGGATGGATGCAGAAACCAGGCGGAAGAAAAAACAAGACACGTTACAAGCAGCTGTGACCAATACACACATAGCCACGAGTGATGAGAATTGTGCTGTCACCACTTGGTGAGGACAAGAGTGGAGGATCTCATCCAAGGCAAGGGAGACGGCCCTCCTTCCAGCAGGAGGAAGCACCTGTCTAACACTCCAACACTCAGAAATAATAAAATAGGCTATTTCGAAAAACGGAATGAGGGCGTGCCCGGCTGGCTCTGCTGGAGGAACGTGTGACTCCTGATCTCAGGGTCGTGAGTTTGAGCCCCACAATGGGGTAGAGACTACTTGAAAAATGAAAGAAAAGAGCAGAATACGTAAAGCTGTCGACAGTGGTTCCCTTCAGGGAAGTGAAATGGAGTAAAGAGGGCAGGGAGCAAAGTCCTATAACTGTCTACACGGGCTGGCTAATACCCTCTGAATTTTCCGATGATGTGCACGTGTTTCGTTTTACAAACGCTTTCAAGGAATAAACATGTGGAGGAAACAAGCCACAGTGCCTCCCTGCGCCGTGAGCACTGCCTTCCCCTCCTGGGCACCATCCTGCAGTGGACTGAAGACACTCATGTGCTGAGGGACCCCGTGGGAACGAGACCCCAAAAAAGGGGAAAGCGTGGGTCACAGCCCAGACAGGACAAGATGCGTCCCCCACCCAGGGAAGGGCTGGCACCCAAGCCCAAGAAGCAGAGGGCAGGCACACCCGGGCTGTCTATGAAGGGCAGGGGTGCGGCGGTGGCTGGGCAGGGGAGAGTGAATGAGGAAGCAGCCAACAGGCACCGGAGTGGAGGGCGTGCCAGGAGGAGGGAAGCACAGCGGGCACCCGGAGGGAAGTGAGAGAGACGCGGTAGGACACAAGGGAGCGTGCAGGGGCGGCTCACAGGAGGGGACGAGCGGCCGTAGCAGCGGCAACAGGAGGTGCGGCAGGAAGCCCGGGATACACGGCATCCCTCCCTGGGCCCTGACACGCGCAGAGCACACGCCGAAAGAGAACCTCTAAAACGAGTACACGATCGCAGACGATGTCCACACTTCAGTTCCAAAGCTGTCGACAGGTGGCTTTCTAGGCGCCCGTAAATGAAGCGCAGACAGGTCCTGCTCTGCGTGCAGGGCAGCGGAGCGGTCCCTTCCTGAGGCTCCCTGCCAGAGGCGGCACACCCGTCCGCCCGTCGCGAGGGCCCGCCCAGCGGGCAGCCAGGTCAGTGCCCTCCCAGCACAAGGAACAGCCCGCCCCGGAGCACTCACCTGACCCCACGTGGCCTGAGTACTTGACGAGGCACCGCCCTGTCTCTATGCTCCACAGCAGGGCCGTGTGATCTGCAAGATCCAAAGAACAGGAGTGACTGACCCACCACCAATTCTACAGTCTTCAAATGAAAGTGAGAAGTTACATTACCACTAGTATCTCTTCCGACTGTAGATCAGAAACCACGTTTCCAAGACAGGAGAACTGGGTGACCTGTCCCAGGTCAAGGGGGTGGCAAACAGATACCCAGGGACTCGGGACTCATGGCACATGGTCACACTGACTGCACCTCGCCAGGGTCCTTCTAACCAACCCATCACAGCTTCACTGTTTTGTTGAATTAACACTTTCCAGATCATCACACAGTAAATAAATGCAAAACTCCAGTTACAAATTATTTGAGGTCATATGTATGCGTTTGGGCCTTTCCTCTTACATAATAGAAAATCTGAAAAATAAATGTCAATTATCTAAACAAGATCTCAGAGATACCAGAAACAGGCCCTTTCATTCTTTCTTTTTAACTGTAAGGGAATTTCTAAAACACTGGGGAGTGCTCACAAGTGAACATAATTTTAAACAAGTCAACTTTCTTCATTCATGGTTCTATCTGCTGTAAAATTTTCTACTTCTATTAAAAAGCAGATCAGGGGCACCCGGGTGGCTCAGTCAATTAATCTTCTGATTCTTGATCTCAGCTCAGGTCATGATCTCACAGTTTGTGGGATCAAGCCCCATATTCAGGCTCTGTGTTGACAGCATGAAGCCCACTTGGGATTCTCTCTCCTTCTCTCTCTGCCTCTCACTCACTCTCTCTAAATAAATAAATAAACTTTTTCAAAAACAAAACAAAGCAGAATCTAGTGGGGCACCTGGGTGGCTCAGTCAGTTGAGTGTCCGACTTCGGCTCAGGTCATGATCTGAGGTTCATGATTTCAAGGCCGGCATCGGGCTCTCTGCTATCAGCACACAGCCTGCTTCAGATCCTTTCTCCCTCTCTGTGGTTGTCCCTCCCCCCACACTCTCTCTCTCTCAAAACTAACTTAAAGAAGAAAAAAAAAAAAAAGCACAATCCACTAAGTACCTGGAAAAATCATTTTCAATAGGTGGGCACCATTTTTAACTTCAGTAATTTTGGTCGGAAAGGGTATTATTAGGTTAGGCACCTTGGAGAGCTTTCAAAACCTATCTTTTCTTTTTTTTTTTTTTTTAATTTTTTTTCAACGTTTTTTTATTTATTTTTGGGACAGAGAGAGACAGAGCATGAACGGGGGAGGGGCAGAGAGAGAGGGAGACACAGAATCGGAAACAGGCTCCAGGCTCCGAGCCATCAGCCCAGAGCCTGACGCGGGGCTCGAACTCACGGACCGCGAGATCGTGACCTGACTGAAGTCGGACACCCAACCGACTGCGCCACCCAGGCGCCCCTAAAACCTATCTTTTCTTTAATGAGAGAAAAGGGTCTCTAACACCGGCCCCGGGAGTCCCACAGGCTAAAAGGGCTGCCAGCACCCCTGCCTCCACCTAAATCCTAGAACAGCTAGCCCGCTTCAGAGACCACACAGCCCTTCCCTGGGCCGTACCTCACAATTCAAGCAGACACACGCTCGACTGTAACAAGAAAGTACCTCGCCAGTTCAAAAGACATTCTACCTTATGCTGCCGTAAACACAGGTGGCGCAACCACGGAGCCAGCACCTGCTCACCCAGACACCTGACGTCACACCTGCTGACAGCAGCAAGGCCTGACGGAGCACACCAAGGCCAAGTGCTTTGGTTTCAAGGACTGTTCGGCCTCCCGCCGGCTTCCAGCGCCAACTCTGCCACCCACCCCGCAGGGAGTCATCTGCACCGGCTGTCACGCCCGACAAGCAGAGCGACTGGCTGTGAACTTACCGGCAGACGCGGTGCCCAGCACCACGGGCTGTGTCCTCGCCACGCTGACGTCCCAGATGCCATCCCTGTGGCCAATGTACTCCTTCACGAGCTGGCACACGGCCCTCGACGTGGTGGTCTTGAAGCTGGAGACGATCTAAAATCGTGACGGGAAGGAGCATTGTGGACGATTTACTGACCGAATGTTTTTAAGTTAAAAAAGGTAAAACGGAAAAAGATGTGTTGAACGTCATACACCCCTGAACAGGATATTTAAAGCATTAAGGGCACACAACAAAAGCGCAAACAGCAGCATCCCTCCAGCTGGGTGTCACAAAGCAACAACGAAGGCCGTCCTAAGGCCTCTCAGAAGACCCCCGACCCCCCACAAACCACATGTGTCCTCCCGTGATGAAGAAGAGGGGCCTGTTTACACACTGCGAGTGTCTTCCACAAATCCAAACCAGCAGACAAAATTTCCAAATTCTTTAAAAAAAAAAAAAGCTACCAGGACATGAAGAAGTGAAGAAGTCAGGAAGGCATACCCACACCCTGAACACTACCTTTTATTACTGGGGAACTTTCATTTTTTCCCATTTTTGGTAATTTACACCGACCACGTATTATCAGGAGGAAAAGAGCCCAAGGTGGGGAGGAATCCAAAGACGACACTTCTAACAGATGAGGTTTGTCCAACAGTGTTTATTGCACGCGTGCTCGGTGCCGGCGCTGCGCCAGGAGACACACACAGAGCGACAGCAGGCCCTGGCCTCGGGCAGCTCACAGTCTGACGGGAACAGACAGGAGAACCACAAAGGTGCACACGAGGTGAGGCATCGTCTCGTACGATACACACGGCAAACAACTCTCACTTTCTCTTACAAGGAAAAATAGAAAGTGTGTGAGCAAGAAACTAATTAAACACAAACAACTCTTCAGAGTTTGCTTTTTAAACTGTTCTCAGAGAAAAGGAATGGCTTTTCAGCTTTTAAGCAAATCAGAATAATGGAGATTAATCAGAATAATGACACTGTAAAATCAAACGAAAAAGAAAAATCAGTGGTGTTAAACAGCTATTTGGAACACGGATTTGGCGAAGCCCTGAAAATGAATCAAAGTTCATTCTTATTTAGTATAAACACATTACAACACAGTCCACTGTTCCATCAATTCGGGTATGAACGTTCAAACCATCCTCCGCTGCAGAGAGCGACTAGAAATGTTTATGAAGACGGACTCTTCCGGCAGTAATACTGACAGGCTCCATCTGACTCGGTCTGCATTTTACCAAAAGACTTGCACAAACGCAAACTCCTCGTCTTCTTTTTCCTTCTGAAAGCCCCTCCCCCACCCACACCAGCAGAACCGTCCCTCCCAACACAGAAAAGGGCTTTTGCTGGCGCAAGGTGCCATTCGGACGTTCAAGAACGCAGCGGTTAGGAACGTGCACAGCTTGCCCCACAGGAAGCGGCAGTACGGTTCAGTTTCCAAGCCTCCTGCTGTGTGTGACGCAGACGTCACTGTGAGGAGAGATGAACTAGTGGAACCACACTCCTCCCTCACCCACCCCGCTCGGACAGGAGCCACACAAGGTCGCCGCTCAATACTCATGGCAACCGCACTTCGGGCGGAATTCTGGAAGCAGAGCACATGCAGCTCATCGACACCGTAACAAATCACGTCACGTGTTGCTTCCAAATGCCCACTACGCTCTGAACACCTATTAACTCTTTGTTTTGTTTTGTTTTTTTTCAACGTTTATTTTATTTTTGGGACAGAGAGAGACAGAGCATGAACGGGGGAGGGGCAGAGAGAGAGAGGGAGACACAGAATCGGAAACAGGCTCCAGGCTCTGAGCCATCAGCCCAGAGCCCGACGCGGGGCTCGAACTCACGGACCGCGAGATCGTGACCTGGCTGAAGTCGGACACTTAACCGACTGCGCCACCCAGGCGCCCCTAACTCTTTGTTTTTAAAAATGCTGACCCCTTCACTACTGCGAAGAGGCCCCACAAAAGACTGAATTACTCAGTGTTCGTGACAGAGAAGCACAACAAAATGGCAAAGTGATGCTTACACCTGTCGCCCTAATTATCATTCTCATTAACATACAATCTAAACTACTCCAACAAGACCAGAAAGGTCTTTTTCACAATGCGAGCTATTTATCTTTGTAAAAACACGTGTGAACATTTTCACAAGTTTCTCTAACGTTAGACGGTCAGGCATCCCTCCCGACAGACACCAGCGACCTGTCCTCAGCCACCCAGGAAGGGAAGACCTCTTGGTTGCTGAACACACGTGCGTTTCCCACCATCCCACCACGTACACACTACTTGCCTTTCAGGGCTGAGTCAGGAGGCAAGTAACGAGGCCTCCTTGCTGCACACACACTCAGTGTTACTGCCAAGAATACACACTACGGCACGGATCAGAATGTATTCTGGGATCAGATTCATTCTTCAACCTTCAGGTAACATCTTACGTTATTATTCTTCAACGTGCACAATAAAGATCATTAATATGTTTCTCATACACTGAGATAAGTTTCTAGTATCTAAAACAAAGGGCACTTTATATCTAATACATTTTTTTTTTTTAAAGCAGAGTATTATTGTATATAACCTTCCCTTTGTCCAAATCTTGTATTTCACTATTCCTAGTAAGGGACAACTTTATACAATCTGTTCATCTTCTACTTCAGAAATGGTCAGAAAGTTTCTGAATTCTAAGACCATATACATTGTACACATAAGCTGTGTCCACAAGAATAAACAATATAATTTAAGATAATATAACAAGAAGTTAAGACGAGCAAGAACATAGTCTCACAATACATTTCGAAGAAAACTCTGATGTAAATTTATTAAAAACTTAGAAACTAAGAAGCTAGATAATACATAACAACAAAATTTTTTTAACTAAGCACTTATACTCTGGAGTTATCAAAGGAAACACAAGAAAATGTAATCAATGTTTGTATTTTTTAAATAACAAAGTTTTCCAATAAGCAGAAACAGCAGCAAGACTGGATCTGCTTTATTACTTGTAGTTAATCTCGCTGGGGATGTCATGCTACATAACTTGAAGCTCAAAGGGACGAACTGGAAAAACAGAGTTGACAGTAACTATGCCATCACAGCAGATTCACCACAAATTTCAACTTTTCCCTCAGGTTTAGCAAAAGGAATGTACATTCATTAAGGCTGGGTAACTAATTTATCTTCTGTATATTCAAAATACTTCAAAGTAAAAACGCACACAGAATTACTTCAAAATATTACTTCACGGCAGTACTCCCTCACAGACAAACTTATTCCCAAATAATTAAATCCTTGCCACTTTAAGAAGGTCAGAACATGATTATTTTTAAAGAAGTAAAATACCACATACGTCCCTATCTGCCCTGGAGACAAGACCTTCACATCTGGATAATGCTCAGAAAATGAGAGAAAAACAGTGGGTGGCGGAAAACGTGCCTGTGGTGCACTGCATTACTCCATTACCTTTCTCCAAATTCAGAGCCTCTGTATCAAGCCAAATAACAATACAAAATGTATTTTCCCTCCAAAAAGACACCGTAGCTACTAACGCGTATCTTTTACTCTCACAGGAACCGGGGCAAGGGAGTGTCTAGGTGTCCATATGCTGTGGCCATCTCACAGATCTAGGATATTCCCTTTAAAAATCAAAGTTTTCTAAACAGCAGAAGTTCCTCTTTCTCTGTTACATGTTTATAATTGGAAAATATGCAACTTCAGGTACACGTCCGCACACCTCAAATACCACATGAGCGGCCCGAGAGCCAGCGCCTTGCGTACCTTGCTGGTGGAGGCCTTGTAAGTGGTCTTCAGCTTCTGAGAAAGCTGGCTGGTGCTGTGGCTGGCTGCAGAGACAGAGAATCGACAGTCAGGGCCGCAGAATGTTAGAGCCAGGACAGACTGGACAGCAAACCCCACCTCTCACTGCCAACGGGAAGACAGTGAAACCCGAGGGTCCATCTGTCCACGCTGGCATGGAGGTGACAGCACAGCTGGAACAAGACGCCAAGCTTCCTGGCACCCCTCTCCGCCTCACCCGCCCCCACCCACACCTGACTACGGGCCCCAAGCACTGCTGACCGCAGCAAGCAAACAAACCCACGTCCTTCATGAAATCCCAAATCTCCCCCACATGTCACGTGTCGGCAGTCCTGTCGGGAGCGCTCACCCTTACCTTTTGTTTTGAGCTGGCCCTTACTCAGTTCCGCCCCATCGATCGCTTGTCCTTCGGCAGCTAAACGTTCATTAAGAGTCTCAATCTCCCTACGCACTGGGAATAAAAAGGTTTTTTCAAAAAGGTAAGACGTGAACTTTTATGTTGAAACATATTCACCGCTTCCAAAACTTGAGGGTGTAAAAATATTATGTGTAAGTATTATCTAAACACAGACATGAATAATACCCTAACATTAGGTTCGCAGACCTCTCAAAATACTTGCGACACCTCTCACACACTGAGAACCACTGCTCTCCCTACACTGGGAAGACTGCGCCCCCAGGGCTCGCGGGCAGGGCTCCTGGACCTCAAGGTAGGCCATCTCCTTTGTCCTTTATTCTATACACTTAAAAACATTTTCCTGATACTATCCAAAATTCAGTGAAATGTTTACAGTCTAGCCGAGAACACTGAAATTGGGAGGAAAAGCATACAACAAAACATAACTATGGCTGCATGGGACCACAGAGCGCCAAGTAAGGATTATATGTAACAAAGATTAAAAATCTGGTGCGCTTGGGTGGGTCAGCTGGTTAAGCGTCCGACTTTGGCTCGGGTCATGATGTCGCAGTTCGTGGGTTTGCCTGGAGCCTGCTGAAGAACTGTCTCCTTCTCTCTGTGCCCCTCCCCCGCTCACGTTCGTGTTCTCTCTCTCAAAATAAATAGACATTAAAAAAAGAATTAAAAAAAAAAGAATTAGTTTGAAAAAAATTGAAGGAGAGTCACAAAAGTCTCAGAACCACAGGGAAAGAATGAAGAGGAAGGTCATCGGTCATCAAGAAGGCGATCAGCAGACACCTGTGCCTATGCTCTCCTCCAGAACAGGTCTTCGGGACCAGGGCTGTCTTCCAGCCACAACGTTGAGGAATGACACGTGCCCAAGGAACAGGATTCAGCCGAGGGCACAAGCCACTACAGCGAGGCAGCAGGACCATGACCTGGCCACACATCCCCCCCAAGCCAGGCTGTGCACCTGCCAGGACGATGTACCCTCTACTCAGGCTATGGTGAGACGAAGGGGCCGGGTCAGGTGACAGAGAGGGTAAGGGCAAAGGCTCTGAGCAGACCTTACAGAGGCAGGGCGCCACCAAAGCCAGGCAGCACGAGACTGTGTCAACTCAAAGTACATCCAGCAGTAGTCATTTGTAATCCTACAGTTTTTCTTGAACAAACTACATGATTTCATAAAATATTAATAAGGCCTTACATCACAACAGAAACTCAATAATGCTTTGATCATTACAACTGATACTTTTTTATTTAAGAGACAGAGAAGAGAGAATAAGCAGAGGAGAGGGGCAGAGGAAGAGAGTGAGCGAGACACAGAATATTTTTTTTAAGTTTATTTTTGAAAGAGAAAGAGAGAGCTCAAGTGGGGTAGGAGCATAAAGAGAGAGAGAGAATCCCAAGCAGGCTCCGCACTGTCAGCACCGAGCCCAAAACATGGCTCAAACCCAAGAACCGGGAGATCATGACCTGAGTCGAAATCAGATGCTCAACCAACGGAGCCAGCCAGAATCCCCTACACTGCTTGATTCTTTAAGCAAATGAAGGCACTGCTTCTATAAAAAAAAATCTAAGAATAAAAACTAAAGCCAAGCTAATTTAAAAACTACTTTGATTTGGGGCGTCTGGGTGGTCAGTAGGTTAAACGTCCAACTCCTGTTGGTTTCGACTCAGATCACCATCTTCCGGTTCATGAGTTGGAGCCCCACGTCAGGCCATGTGTTCACAGTGCAGAGCCTGCTTGGGATATTCTTTCTGCCCCTCCCCAGCTCGTGCGCACACGCTCTCTCTCTCCAAAATAAACAAATAATAGATAAATAGATACTTCTGATTGACCTTTAAAATAAGCCGAACAGATAATACTAAGAAATTCTCAAAATACGGTATATTTTAAAGGAAAACATGAATCAATAATTTCTCGATTTACAGTATACTTTGTATAGGGAGAGTTATAAGAAGCATTTGTTTTTCATAAAACCACCATCTGAATGAGCTAGTGTGGCCAGCAGAATGCTACCCACCCCAAAGGTAACCTGTGAGCACGTGAGCCCCATGGCTAAGGGGCCCTGCAGGTGTGACTACAGCGAGGGACCTCTGACGGGGAGGTCACCCTGCCTGGCCCGATGACCCAGCCTTCCCTCACGTCCTTAGGAATGGCTCAGAGATGCTCACCACTGAAGGCTTCGAAGACGGACGGTGGAAGGGCTTTGAGGCAAGGGGTGAGGCGGGCTCTAGACACCGGGACTCTGTCCTCACGATGCACAGAACTGAAAATCTGCCACAGTTCAAACAAGCAAAAGACAGACCCTCCCCCTCACCTCCAGAAGCACAGCCCTGCCAAGGCCTTGACCTGAGTCTGCTGGGAGGGGCCCCCCCATAGTTCCCACCGGTGACTTGTAAGGTAATCAATCTGGGTCACTCGAAGCCACTATGTGTGTTACAGAACACAAAATGAATACAGTGGTGACCGTCTACCCAAAATTTTACAAAAGCTTATTAGGACAGAAGATACTCACATTCTAAGTTCTCAATGTAAAGGTTTTCAAACTCTCTCTCTATTTGACCAAACAGCTCCAAAAGTGTACTGCGAACCGAGGAAGGCAGCTTAGAATCCTGAAGAAAAAAAAGGAAGATTCTGTTTAAAATGAATGAATAAGAAACTCTTTTCCAAAGCGAACTCTCATTTCTCTTAAATTCTTATTTTATATATTATTTCTTATACGTAAAATGCTTACAGAACTCACAGTTCCACATTTCTACGTACAAAACGATGATGAAATGATATAAATGGCTATCCAGCATGATACAGGATTCAAGAACAAGCACTTCCTCAAAATAACGCAATTTTCCCTTTTACAAGGGAGGAAACAAGCCTACCTTATTCAAAAACCTCCACATTTGTAGAGAAGGAAGACAGTTCCCATAAATGCAGTTTCATCATGCACAGTCTTTAAAGTTCTACCGTGTGACATTATAAATTAATCTTAATAAGCCACCTACTAACAGAAGAGCTTTTAGAGAGCTCTCCCATCCACGGTGCTTCAGACAAAATCCTGGACATCTCCTAACACCTACAAGACTGTGAGGAGGGAAACATGAGAAATCTGACCAGTAAGAGCAAACGGTGTCTGTTACAGGAGAACATCCATGTGGTGAGTGTCAGGAGCACCACGCCACGCGTGCCTGCACGCCTGCCCCCGTGTTCTGCACAGCTGGAGTCTCCTCTACGCCTCATGGGAAGTCCATGAGCAGAAGCAACGCCTCTGCAGAAGTCTGAGGTACAAGTGACTGGGTGGCGTCCCCGGCCCCACCCATGCTCACACACACGCACTTTCTGGGCGCTGCTGGTCGTGGGGAGCCCGCACAGTCTACACTACTCTCCCCTCCTGAGAGCACGCCTGACGTGCTAGTTCGTGTGACCCCACACTCAGAGTATTTCCAGAACGGAACTCGTAATGGTTCTAAAATGTTTCAGGGGCGCCTGGGTGGCGCAGTCAGTTAAGCGTCCGACTTCAGCCAGGTCACGATCTCGCGGTCCGTGAGTTCGAGCCCCGCGTCAGGCTCTGGGCTGATGGCTCAGAGCCTGGAGCCTGTTTCCGATTCTGTGTCTCCCTCTCTCTCTGCCCCTCCCCCGTTCATGCTCTGTCTCTCTCTGTCCCCAAAATAAATAAACGTTGAAAAAAAAAAATTAAAAAAAAAAAAATAAAATAAAATGTTTCAGTACTTAATTGCCACCAATGTAAGTGACTTTTCAAGTTTCCGTGCAGCACAAACTTTCTGATGTTTAGTCAGTTGCAAATAAAAAAAGGACATACGATATTTATTAAATTAAACTTCTCAGATTAAGTTCTCAGGAAGACAGAAATTCTACGCAAAATGATCTCTAATGACATAAACATTTCAGCAATATGTTTTGAAATCACATAATGTTCCAGTAAATTTGACAAGCCAATAAAAACTATATACGAAGCCATGTTTAAAAACTGAAATTTGGCAAAATGGGTACTATGGCCTCTCTCAACACCCTTCTAAAATACCAATGAAAAATATGAAAAATAAAAATAAGATTTTGAAATAACAGTGAAAGTAAAATAAACCACGACAGTGGCATTTGCCATGCCGTCCACCTTGCCTCGTGGCCTTCGCATCCGCTCTTCCATCTCCGTGCCACGCTCCTCCCACACCCTTGTGCGGCCGGTCCCCTTCGCACCGGCACTTGGTGAGAAGCCGTTCTGACTCCCACACCAAGGCCACATCTACATGCATCGAGTCCTGCTCACCTATACCCACAGTCCCTTAAGATCTTTACCGTTCAACAACCAAAACATCACATTTACTTGAGTACTAAACGCGTCTTAACGTCAAATGTCATTGCCACTGGAGACAAAACTGGGATGGCAGCGACAGCCTCACCCTACAATCAGGAAGCGAAACGGGCAGTGAAACAAGAACGTTCCCACCAGGCAGGCGGAGCCACGGGAGTGCCCCCGACGGCCTACTGGTGCCATTCGTCTTCACGGACCCCGACGGAGAGGTGCTGAACTGCGGGGACCATTTCAGAAACGTGAGGACAGAAAAGCTACTGTGACTGAGCAAGGCTCTCACGTGCACGTCACTCCATCACATCAGCACAATCACGGGTGCGGGAGGCCTCGCTCCCGGGCACATGCAGACTCAGCCACGCTCCACAACCGGGGCCCCGCGGGCCTGCCGCACTCCTACGCACCCCGCGGGCCTGGGCCGAGCGCCGCACTCCTACACGCCCCACGTTCACAGCTCTGAGAAGGTACAAGTACCACCGCAGCACGTTCACACTACCTTTGCGCTGTCTGGTACTGCTCCCAAATAGGCGTAACCTCGTCCACAAAGTGCAGGGCCACCGTCCCAATAGAATCCATGGGTAACTGGCCCACGGTTCGCAGATCCCTCCACCCACACCTACCATGCCAGCTGCTGGCAACCCTGCCTGCACACCTCACACCGGCCGGCGGGGAAGCCGTGCCAACAGGCAGGTGCCGTCTGGTGACTGCTGAAGCCACCGAGGCGAGGGCCCCACGGTGCAGCAGCCGGACCGGTCAGCTTGCGGACTCTGAACAGCCCCACAAAGGGTCACCCTGAGATGCAGTTACCTGCTTGATCTACGTCACAATGGAGGATGGGCACTCAGAAGGCCGAGCAAAGAACATATTTACCCCCGACGAGTGAACTCCAGAAGACGCTAACAAAGTCGACTGCAGGATTTTCACCACTAGAGATATAAGTAAATCAAATTAAAAAACGTATCCTAGACTGTTTACCTGCACTGTCCAATACGGTAGCCAGCAGCCAAGTGTGGTTATTTAAATTTAGACGTAAATCAAGGAAAATTTTAAAAATTCCTCAGTCACACTAGCCACCCGTGTCTCTGTGCAGGCTGTTATGTATCACCGCTGTTTTTCCCGGTTATTGAGGGAAGGGGAGCTGGTTCTGTTTTGTTTTGGTAACACACTCTTTTTCTCTACTCTGGAGACCTGTATGTATTTGACTATTTCTGGAACATTGAAAACACGATCAGCAACCAACTCACTTGTCCTTCTAACATTTCTCTTGGCAGACCCGTCCTCTCCTGCTCCGAGCTGTTCGTTCTTCGTATAGAAAGGCTATGAGATTTGCGTTTCTGTTTTGCTTGGCGAGCAGTGGAGCAACTCCCGCTTTCTGTGGGCATTACTTCTAGAAGGTGATGTCCCAGTCGCTCCTGCAATAAGCTGAACAAGAGCAGGAAAAGCAAGGACTTTATTTCTGATATGACAAACTGGAATGAAGGAAAATAGTAGACCACTGTTACTTTCAATTCCAAATCTCTCTACTATGGTAATATTTACCATGTAATTTACAACGTGACAAAGTAATGTGTTTTAAGACAGAGGCCACAGCCTTTGTTAATGAGGTAATTTTTTATCAAGTTTCATTAAGTTTTAAAAAAAAATCAAATAGCAAAGACAGGCTTAAACAATTCTCCCTTAACCAACTTCCCCAGCCTCTGCCTACTCCCCAGAGAGAACCAATTCTAATCACATGTTCTAGACTACAGATTCTAGAGCAATCTGTCCAAGAGAAATACAACACAGGCCACATGCCTTAACTGTAAATTTTCTAGTAGCCACATTAAGAAAAAGTAAAAACAGGTGAAATCATTTTTGATGATTTATTTAGCCAACTATGTTTAAAATACTATCACTTGAGGAGCGCCTGGGCGGTGTAGTTGGTTAAGCGTCCCACCCTTGGTTTAGGCTCAGATCATGATCCCAGGGTTGTGGGATTGAGCCCCTCATCAGGCTCTGCACTGAGCATGGAGCCTGCTTGGTTCGGTGGGTCTCTCTCTCTCTCCCCACCGCCACACGTCCCTCTCCCCTGCTAGTGCTCACTCTCCCTCTAAAATAAAAAATTTTAATTACAAAAATAGACCACTATCACTTTAGGCAACGTAAAAAACACTAACAGGTATTTCCATTTGGGTGCTGCATCTTCAAAACAAATTTTTTTTCAACATTTATTTATTTTTGAGACACAGAGACAGAGTGTAAGCAGGGGGAGGGACAGAGAGGGAGGGACACACAAAATCTGAAGTAGGCTCTAGGCTCTGAGCTATCAGCACAGAGCCCGACGCGGGGCTCGAACTCACGAACCATGAGATCATAACCTGAGCCGAAGTTGGAGATGCTTAACCGACGGGGCCGCCCAGGAACCCCCGGGTGCAGTCTCAAAGGGAATCAGCCACACCTCACATGCTCACCTGCTCGGGGCTGCCATAAGACAGCACAAATCTGGACATCATTCAAATTTCTACATAATATAAACATTTTCACTTACCCACTTTGGGCATTATCTACTTGTTTCCTGTTACTGATTCCCCCTCCCAATATCACAACCCTGTTACTTAATTTTAAGTAATATATTTATTCACACACGATGTTTCTTTCTTCAACGGTAACTTGTGTTTAGAACATGACCTGCTCATTTTGTGTTCTTACAGATCCCTCCTCCTCCCAGTATATCTATTAGTTTATGTAATTTTAAGATATTCATGGACCTCCCTTCTTTACTGACGTCTTTGACCCTCTCCATCTCTGCCTCACTTTGTAAGAAAGGTTCCAAGTGTCCACTTTTTTCTCAAGCTCTCCCGCACAGCCATCCATCTCCTCTGTCATTTGAGAATGTCCTAGGAACACAAGCAGAGTATGTGCCTCTTCAAGTTTTGAGCTTCATGCTCTGGAGATCCACGCAAGTTGTTACCTGTACCAACTGTTACTTCCTTCTGATTGCTGGGTAGTATTCCACAGCACGGAGGTACTATAATGTAACCATTCATCTGTTTCAAAAAAAATTTAGTTCTTTCCAGTTTCTTACTATTATAAATAAAGCTACTATGAACAATAACATACAGGTTTTTGTGTGAATGTAAGTTTCCATTTCTTTTGGATAAATGTCCACGAGTGAGATTTCTGGGACATATGATCAATGTATGTTTAGTTTTTTAAAAAAATTTTGAGATATTAACTCACACATCATATAATTCATTCCCCACATTCAGCCCTGGGCAACCACTAATCTACTTTGTACATAAATTGGCCTGTTCTGTCCATTTCATATAAATGGGTTCCTACAATATGCGGCCTAATCTATCATGATTAGCTTTTTTCACTTAGCCAAGGTCCACCCATGTTATAGCATGTGTTGGTAATTTATTCCTTTTTATTGCCAAATATTCCACTGTACGGACACACCACATCTTATTAACAGTTGACGGACATTTGGTTTTTTCCATTTGCGGGTTATTATGAATAATGCCACTATAAATGATAACGTGTAGGTTTTGTGTGCATTTGTGTTTTCATTTCTCTGTGTACACCCATAGGAATGGAAATGCAGTAACTTGATGTTTAACCATGCTTAGTATTTTTAAGAAACCACCAAACCATTCTCCAAAGCAGTTATAATCTCTTATATTCCCATCAGCAATACAGGGCATTCTATTCTCTGCATCCTCATTTAGTATGGTCACTGTGTTTAATTTTAGCGGCTCTGGTAGGCGTGCACTATCTTGTTACGGTCTTCATTCACACTTCCCCAGTGGCTGGTGATACTGCACATCTTTTCCTGTGCTTGTGTGCAATCTAAACATCTTTCTCAGTAAAATGTCTCCTCGCATCTTTTGCCCATTTAATAGGACTTTGGGATTTTACTGCTGAGATTTGAGAGTTCTTCAAATATTCTTCATGAGTTATGCATCAGGTATGTGTGTTGCCAATAGTTTCTCCCAATCTGTAACTTTTTTTTTTTTTTTTTTTGTAATTTGTTTTTTATCCCCACAGGGTTTTTCACAAAGCAAAACCTTTAAATTCTGAAGAAATCCCATTGGTCAATTACCTTTCTCCTATAGATCATACATTTAGAATCATGTCTAAATACTTTTTATCAATCCTACCTCCTAAAAGTTGTGTTTTCTTCTTAAAATTATAGTTGTATAGTTTATATTTAAATTTACAGGCTACTCTGGGTTGATATTTTTAAGGTGCAAAGTTTAGATCCAGGGCTATTTTTGTTTTGGATTTTCTTGTTTTTGCTGGTATCCAATTATTTGAGCACATGTTGAAGACTATCCATCTTACACTGAATTGAGAAAGTTTGACATCTTGCTCAAAAATCGATCGGCTATACACAGGTGGGATTATTTCTTGGTTCTCTATTCTGTTCATCTGATCTATAGATCTCTCTCTCTGCCAGTAAGTTGTTGTTGTTGTTTTTTAAGTTTTATTTATTTATCTCTACACCTAACATGGGGCTCAAACCACAACCGTGAGATCAAGATTCAGATGCTCCATTGCCTGGGCCAGGCAGGCTCCCCTGCTGACAACACAGTCGTGACTACCATGCTGTCTTGAAATCATTTAGTGATTACTATCGTTTTTTTTCAAAACTGTCTTAGCTATTCTAGTTCTTTTGCCCTTACCATATAAACTTGGAATAATCCTTCCCATATCTACAAAAATCTTCATGGAATTTTAATAGGAATTCTGTTTAACCTGCTCATCAATTTGGAAAGAAGTGGCATCTTTATCATGTTGAGCCTTCCAATCTGTGAATACAGTATATGTCTCAGTTTATTTAGATCATCTTTTCTTCCCTCAGTTTTGTAGACTTCCACATAAAAGTCCTACATATGTCTTTTCAAATTTACACTGAAGTTTGTGTTTTTATTTTCTGAGTAATTTTAAATAACATTGTATTTTTATTTCCATTTTGTGTTAATTGCTGGTATCCTACACTATTGTTGAACTCATTAATTTCAGGAGAGTTTTTGTAGACTCTTTGGCATTTTCTATGTAGACTACTATATCATCTGAAGGAAAAAAAAGACAGTTTTATTCCTTCCTTTCTGATCCACAGACCGTTATTTCTTTTTTTTTTTTTTTAATTTTTTTTTTCAACGTTTATTTATTTTTGGGACAGAGAGAGACAGAGCATGAACGGGGGAGGGGCAGAGAGAGAGGGAGACACAGAATCGGAAACAGGCTCCAGGCTCCGAGCCATCAGCCCAGAGCCCGACGCGGGGCTCGAACTCACGGACCGCGAGATCGTGACCTGGCTGAAGTCGGACGCTTAACCGACTGCGCCACCCAGGCGCCCCATCGTTATTTCTTTTTCTTATTGATCTGGCTAGGAATCCCAGTATTATGTTGTAAACAGTGACAACAAACATCCTGTTTTGTTTTGACCTCAAAGTAAAAACACTCTGTTTATGGCCATTAAGTATGATGCTAGCTGTAGGTTGACTGTAGATTTTGTCTACCAAAATGAGAAGGCTGCCCTCCTGGGAGTGTCGTGAATGAGTGTTGAATTTTGTCATCTGTGTTTTCTGCATCACTTAATGGTGTGGATTTTCTTTAGTCTGTTAACAGATGAATTATACTGATGATTTTCAAATACTAATCCAAATTTACACGCGTGGAATAAGCCCTACTTACGTATAACTTTCTTTAGTGACTGCTCTAGGTATTTTGTTTCTTTATTTTCGGAGAAACAGTACGAGCAGGGAAGGAGCAGAGAGAGGGAGAATCGCAAGCAGGCCCCATGCCATCAGCGCAGAGCCCAACGTGGGGCTCAAACTCACAAATCATGAGATCATGACCTGAAACAAAATCAGGAGTTGGATGTTTAACCAACTGAGCCACCCAGGCACCCCTAGGTAGTTTATTTTCACAACTATCACAGTCTACTGATTCTCAACATTCTACCAGTTCGTGGTCATGTACAGAAACCTCACCTTCCTGTCTCTTCACACTTCCCCATTTGTAACAGTCAAGTGAAATACTTCCTCTACATACACAGAGAACATCAAAGCGCTACACTTCAACCTCCAAACAGAAGAGGAGCGTCTATAGAATTTACCAAAGTTTGTTCTTTCCATTGTTCGTTCTTCCTTCCTGGTGTTCCCACATTGCTTTATATCGTTTCCATTCTGTTTACAGAACTTCCTCTACCTATTCTAGAGAGGTAGGTCTGCTGGTGACAGATCACGTGAAAGATATTTTCCCTTGATAGAGAATTCTGAGCTGATAGTTCATTTCCTTCAGCACTTGAAAAGTAAGCCACTTCCTTATGGCCTCTATGGTTGCTGACAAGAAATCCACCATCAAATTGTTTTTCCACTACTGGTAAAGTGACATTTCTCTCTCGCTGCTTTTTTTTTGTCATTAGTTCTCAG